TCAAAGGCTAAACTACCTCCTCTAAAGAAAAAAAAGCCATTAAACTTCTTTAGAACAAACAAAGCAATTAATTCCTGCTCTATATTTGTAGCCAGTGATAATGCATTTTAAATAGAGCTCCCTGAATGAGTTTTTATTGGTTATTTTTCTTCGTTTTAACACCCCATTGTATGCAAAGGTCTCTTAGAAAATTGAAAATAAAAGTCTTGCCTTACTGATTTTGTCATTTTCCATTTGTTAAGCATTGATTTTTCTCCCCCACCCCCACCTTTGCCTCTAATGGAGGTTGAAATTAGGGCTTTTTTTGGTATGTGTTGTTTACTTCTTATTTATACACCATCATCATTATTCACCAAGCTGCCAGCAAGCTCTGGGGATAGTGCTTGTAAGTTAACTAATGCTCTGAAGTCCACCCAAGGAATATTTTAAATAGTTTGTGTGTGTGTGGGAGGGGGGTAGTGACTTTAGCCCTGGTCTTCTTTGGGATTTCTCTTGAGAAAAAAAATTTCAAATACAAGGCACTTTCCAACAAGTGGCTATTTTTTCTTTTTAAAGAAAAAAATACACTTGGCCACCATGTTCATCCTGATGTTGGAAGAGTGGTTCCGCTCTTGCTGAGTCTGTGAAGAACCAACAGAGTTGGTGTCAACTGGGAAGAACTTATCCCTCTAGCTAGCTGGAAAGGAGGGAAAGTGTAGGGGAGAGAAAAGTCAGGTGTGTGTGTGTGTGTGTGTGTGTGTGTGTGTGTGTGTGTGTAGGATCTTAGTCCTCCTCTCTTTGGTGAGATGCGCTATAAAATCCCCTCAAGAACGAGAATAAACCCAGGAGAAGATAATTTCTCCTCTGCATATGCTCATCTAATCTTTGATAAAGGTGCAAGTAATGTGAAGTGGAGTAAGGAAAGCCTCTTTAATAAATTGTGTTGGCATCACTGGACGGCTACATGCAAAAAAATAGGCTCAGAACTCTGCCTAACACCATGTACAAAAGTAAGATCAAAATGGATTAAAGACCTCAACATCAGACCAGAAACCATAAGGTACATTGAAGATAAAGTTGGCAAAACCCTCCATGACATTGAAGCTAATGGTATCTTCAAAGATGCCACGCCACTGGCCGAGCAAGTGAAAACAGAGATAGATAAATGGGACTATCTTAAACTAAGAAGCTTCTGCACCTCCAAAGAAACAGTGACCAAAGTACAAAGACAGTCTACAGAATGGGAAAGGATATTCACCGAATACACATCTGACAAGGGGTTGATATCCAGGATATACAAAATACTGATTAAACTCCACAAGAAGAAAACATCCAACCCCATCCAAAAATGGGGCAATGAAATGAACAGAAACTTTCTCAAAGAAGAAATCCGAATGGCAAAAAAGCACATGAGAAAATGCTCTACATCATTAATCATCAGGGAGATGCAGATCAAAACCACAATGAGATACCATCTCACACCTCAGAGACTGGCCCACATTCAAAAGAACAAAAGCAACCGATGCTGGCGTGGATGTGGCGAGAAAGGGACACTCCTTCACTGTTGGTGGGAATGTCCACTGGTTCAGCCCTTCTGGAAAACAGTATGGACGATTCTCAAAAAATTAGAAATTGAGCTCCCATTTGACCCAGCAATACCACTCCTGGGAATATATCCCAGAGAGGCAAAAATGTATAGTCGAAGTGACATCTGCACTTGTTTGTTCATTGCAGCACTCTTTACAATAGCCAGAAACTGGAAGAAACCTGAATGCCCAAGAACAGATGACTGGTTAAAGAAACTTTGGTACATCTACACAATGGAGTACTATGTAGCTCTTAGAAAAGATGAAGTCATGAAATTTACATACAAGTGGTACAATATGGAAAGTATCATGCTAAGCGAAATGAGTCAGAAAGAGAGGGATAGACATAGAAAGATTGCATTCATCTGGGGGATATAAAGTAACAAAGTATGAGATTAATACCCAAGAATAGCTGAGATCAGCACCAGGAGGATTACTCCATAACTTAGAGGCCAGCCGGGTATCCTAGAGGAAAGGGCTATTCAGATAGAGAAGGGAGCACCAAATAAAGGATGTTTGGAGGATCCTCCCAGGAGGGGAGATGCATGTCGAAAGTAGACTATGGACTGAACATGTTTGCCACTCAATGCCTCTTTTGCAGACCACAACACCCAAAAGGAGAGAGAGAACACAGGGGATTGCCCTGCCACAGAGACGGGGGGATGGGGGGATGGGGGTGGGAGGGATATTACCCATGGTGGTGGAAAATGGGCACTGGTGGAGGGATGGGTATCTGATCATTGTATAATTGAAACCAAAGCACAAAAAATTGTAAATCTACAACTTTAAAAAAAATAAAATAAAATAAAGGGGAAAAAAAAAAAAGATAATTTCTCCTCTGGGTAAAAAGCTAAGTTACTAAGGTAAACACTATTTGATGAGAAGTGTCACACCAGAAATCTGAAAAGTGGCACGTGTAAAGGGGATGTGTGAGTTCATAGTAATTGTGAAGCAAAAACACCCATTGTGGTATCTTATGTGCCTAGGTTTCTTTTCTCTTTGGGTCATACCCAGTGATGCACAATGGTTACTCCTGGTTCTGCACTCAGGAATTACTCCTGGCGGTGCTGGGGGACCATATGGGATGCTGGGAATCGAACCCAGGTCGAAGGCGTGCAAGGCAAGCGCCTTACCCGCTAGGCTATCGCTCCAGCCCCTGTGCCTAGATTTTTAACCTGTCTTTTGGCGGGGGGGTCCGTGAATTCCCTCTTGTGGTTTTCTTCTGATGGAGATCTTTTTTGGTTTGTCCCATATCCAGTGATGTTCAGGTCTGACTCCAGGTTCTGTGCTCAGGGATCAGTCTTGGAGTGCTCAGGGGACCATATTGGATCTAGCCCAGGCCCCACATACACGGCAAATGCCCCACCCACTGTACCATCTTTGTCTCCTTGGCAGAGATCTTGGGAGTGTATTGTGCTCTCCTTTCCTTTAAGCATTCTACAATAATAATGACAAAAACTTCTGTGTCATCTGATATGGTAGCTGCTAGCATGTGTTGTGATTTAGCACATGTGGAGACTTAGGGAATATAGTTCCTAAACCTGAATTTTTTATGTTGTTTACTTTTAGTTAATAAAGATTAAAAGCATATACATGTGTAAGTAGCAACTGAACTGACAACATGGTGAGTCTACTCTGATAAGAAGGGTATAGTAGTATTTTTTAGATTTCCCCAGAGTGTCAGGTCTAAACTTTGGACTTGATTTCTCTATTCTTTGAAGGGTCTTTGGTAATGACTGTAAATTTATAAATAAGATAGAGTTAATATCCTGAAACTAATAACCCATCCTTTTTTTCAGCACCCAGTTGCCTCCTAAGGAGGCTGAGTAAATGCTAATGAGTGAAAAAGTACCTGTCATATTAAAAAAATATTGAGATAAATGGTTGATGGTGCATGGTAGAAAATATTTGCTTCAAAGGCATTTTTAGTTTTTGTTGGCAGCACTGAGGACGGAGTCCAGGGCTGCATTTGTACAAGGTTCAGGTTTTACCTCACCAAGCCACATCCCAACTCTTTCACAGACATTATTTTTATCCCTAGGGGGAATCTGTATACAATGACTTATTTTTGCATTGATAATTTATGTATTTTATATATTTAGGTGAATCATATCTAGGCTTTACCATTTCAGATTGGCATTGTCTTGAGTTATATCCTTAGGTCATATGTAATTCTGAAAAAACTTGTCAACCTGAACAAGCATGGTGCAGTTGTCATGTGTGTAAGAATTTGAGTGAAAGTCTATGTTTAAATTCTGTTTTTGCTCTTTTTCATCTATGTGCCTACCTTTTAAAATTTAATTTTATTTTTTTTATTGAAGCGCTGTGAGATACAGTTACAAAATTTTCATGTTTGAGTTTCAGTCATGCAATAATCAACCACCCATCCCTCTACCAGTGCGCATTTTCCACAACCAATGTCCCCAGCATCCCTCCCACCACCCCTCCCCCTGGCTCTATGGCAGACAGTATTCCCCATACTCTTTCTCCACTTTGGGGCATTATGGTTTGCTATACAGATACTGAGAGGTTATCATGTTTGGTCCTCTATCTACTTTCAGCTATGAGCCTACCTTAAGGAAATCATCTATCATTTCTAAATCTCAGTTACTCATCTGTAAATGGAGCTAATAATGAACTTTTTTTTATTTATTTGTGTTGATAATCTACATGATGGTGCTCAGGACTTTATTTTAGCTCTGTGCTTTGGGGACTATTCCTGGTGGTTCTTGGAGGGCCATATTTGGTGCCAGGGTTTGAACCAGAATTTGCCACGCTCAAGGCAAGCATCTTAACCACTGTACTATCTCACAGACCCCAAACTTTCTCTTAAGAAGTTGACGCATTGGGCCTGGAGCAATAGTACAGTGGGTTGGACACTTGTTTTGCTCACTGTTGACCTGGATTTGATCACCAGCACCCCCATACAGTCTCCTGAATACCACCAGGAGTAATTTCTGAGTACAGAGTCAGGAATCATCCCTGAACATTACTGGTATGACCCCAAAATACAACAGAAAATTGCGGTCTTAACTATCAATTGGTTGAAATGAATAAGTGATGCATTGTAAACAATTGGAATAATCATAGCTAGCATTTAAAACACAGGGCTCCTGGCACAGTTCTAGGCAATTTATGTTCATGGATTTATTTAGTTTCCTATTGGTTATTGTTATTATGAGATGCTATTGTTCCAGTTATTTAGATGAGGAAGCTAAAAGTACAGAGAGATGCAGAGTCGCTGCATAGTGAGTGCTCAATGTTCCGATGCTGTTGTTATAATCATTACCATTCTAGTGGTTTCCAGTAGCTTAGGAAGCAGACATTAAGAGCCAGCTACTCAGATAGTAAATGAAACAATGTTATTCATTTATACTTTTGTAGTCCACTCTGATATTCACTTATCAATATTTATGGCACATGAACTCCACTTACTATGATGTCTCCTCCTCTTATAAACTGGAGTCTGGGCTGGATTAATAGCACGTCACAAAGATAGATGATATCACATAATATGTCTGGAATAAGCCAGTAGTAGGTGTTGTCCGGTGTTTGGTATGGAAAGACGAGGCGCAGCGGTATAAGCCAGCAGTTCCAGTTATAGGCCAACGAGACAAGTAGGAGCCATAGGAGATAGACTCGATCTAGAAAAACAGCAAGTGGAGTAACCCAAATGACACGTAGGCGTTTTCAAGTCTGTCCTTAGCTTGGTGAAGTGGGAATGCTACCCTCTAAAGTGAAGCAATTTGCCATATGAGATTCTTTTTTTTTTTTTAATTTTTTTTATTAGTGAAGCACCATGAGGTACAGTTGTAGATTTACAAATCTTTGTGCCTGAGTTTCGGTCATACAATGATCAAATACCCATCCCTCCACCAGTGCCCATTTCCCCCCACCCCCCCTCCCACCCTGCCTCTGTGGCAGGGCATTCCCCTTTGTTCTCTCTCATATGAGATTCTTTTAAAACATACAGCAGATATTTTGCCTCAATATAGAATGGGAGGCACTTTTTACAAGCACTTTTTTTTACAGGTCACCATATCAGCCCTGTGACATTGAAGAATGTCCTTCTGGATTCTGAGTGACCAGCCAGGGTTGATCCTGACAGTTAGCTGCAATTTGGATAAAAATAAAAGGGAAACACAAGAAAACCCAGAGGTCCCCTGATAGGATGACTCTAGCCACAGCCCCTTTTCCTGCGGAATCGTTCTGAGAAGGTGAGTACAAAGCCCCATTTTCTTTGAAGTGGGATTCTTGAGTGCAGAGGGCAGAGACTTAGCCCACTCAGGCATGTCCCTTCATAGAATGTTTTTCTTTCCCCCATGGAAACTGTAAGGATAATAAGCAATGCACACCCTGGAGGAAAATGGACAATCCATAATAATATTTACTTTTTGAGAGGAGTTTCAGTGCACATAGGACTAAATGCTTTGGGTCTTTTTTCTAAAGTAGTTGGGAACAGAACAGAACCTGTACTGCCTTTTAATAAAGGCTGGGCTATTTTACCCCTGTCCTTATCAAAAAGGGCTCCAGAATGAATAGGGAGTTTAAATTTTATTTTCAGACTAGATTCAGAATGGACTAGGGAAATTGGAAGCCATCTGTGACTTTTGGTTCTTGGTAATGGGCAATTCTCCCAATGGCAGAACCCATCCTTTTGATGGTACCTGTGTACGAATCTATGCTTCGTGGAAGTTGAATTTTCTTTAGATAGTTCATTAGCTGCATCTTCCTGAATTTACAGCAAAGTAAGTTGTGGTAATGTTCTTCTTTTTGTTGAGCTCTGCTTTCTTGTGTTGACGATGGAGCTGTGGGTTTTGCTTAATACAAAAAAAGGATAAAACATTTTTCAAAGGTTAAGTTAAATTAGCTTAATGAGCAAAAAGCTTAGGCTTTTTGAAGTCAAATGATTCCAGAATTTTCCTCTTTCATTAAAGGCAGATGAGGCATTTTATGACATTTAAAACACTGACATTTATGAAAATATCCAGGTAATGAAAATATTGAAATTTGAAAATAAACAACAGGCTTAAAGTTCACTTATAGATTTTCCCCAAAGTGTTTTTAAATGGAACGTTTTATTTTCAATTAATTTTATTTCTGAGTTACTCATAGTGATTTACAATTCTGCTTCTAATTTTTTCAATCATGAAATGTTCCAACTCCAAACACAGCAGTATCTGCGTCCCTCCACCAATGTCCAAGGAGTCTCTCCTACTCCCACACCACTCCTTAGCAAACTAATCTTTCTAAAAAATGAGCCTAGTTGAAAATAATGGAGGAGAAATGTCCTTCCCACAGAAGCAAGCTTCTGGGTGAAAGGGAAACTGGGAACATTGGTAGAGGTTGGAACATTAAATGCCTGAAATTCAGTCATAGATATCTTTGTAAAGGTAAAGGTAAAGGCCCTCGCGTTGATCGTCGATTTGCTCGAGCGGGCCCAGTAACGTCTCCATTGGAGACTTTGTTGTTACTGTGTCTGGCATATCGAATACGTCACGGGGAGCTTGCCAGGCTCTGGTGTGCGGGCGAGATACTCTCGGTAGCTTGCCGGGCTCTCCAAGTGGGGCGGAGGAATCGAACTTGGGTCAGCCATGTTGGCTGCGTGCTAGGCAAACGCCCTACCACTGTGCTATCGCTCCAGCCCAGATATCTTTGTAATTCATGGTAATTTGATAAAACATCTACTGGCTACTATTTGACTAGTCTACTTTCTAAGACCCCTGAACAGTACCCTTATGTCACCTGCAGCCCACACCCTTTACCCATCCACCAATTCTTTCTTTCTTGGCATTCTCTGCAGAGTAATATTTCATTTTTCATTTCATCATCCTGTTATTCGTCGATTGCCTCGAGCAGGCCCCAGTAACGTCTCTTTCATCCTAGCCCTGAGATTATATTCAAGGCTCTTTAGGAGAATGAGACCCATCATTGTTACTGGTATTTGACATATTGGGTACGCCACGGGGAGTTTGCCAGACTCTGCCCTGTGGGCAGGCTATATTCGATAGCCTGCAGAGTAATATAGGGCCAAAGTTTTCTGTTGCTCGATATCTTTTGTTCCTTTGCTTTGTTGCTGTTCTGTCTACCACAGATGACTGAGATCATCTCTAGGAATTCGATTTTTTTTTAAAGTGTATTTTTCTTAGTTTTGGGGTCATGTTTGCTGGTAGTTGGTGCAACTCCTGGTTCTGTGCTAGGGGTTTGCTCTGAGTACTGCTCAGGGCGGCATGCAGTGCTGGAACTGAGGTCTTTTGTGTGCATAGAATGTTCTCAGCCCACCGAGCTATCTTTCCTGGCTCCCAACAAGAATGTTTGAAAGAGAAGCTGGTTCTCACATAGTTAGGGAAGAAATAAAAGTAATTGTTTTGCCTAAAATTGAACAGAACTCTTTCAAATATGGACTGTTTTCACAGATTTTAGCTCTGTACCTCTGTAGACTCTCTCCCACGTAAATTCCAAGTTTTGTAAAAATAATGCTCAAAATATTCATTTCAACATATTTTAATCAAACTGCAGTGATTTACTTATCATTTCTGTTAAACATGGTATACACAATTGTTTATATATATCTATTCAGTACACGGTTTGTTTTGCAAATCCAATTTTCTTTATACAATTATAAGGAAATCCTCAATTCCATTACATGTGATCATTTTATGGTCAAGTTTTCTTCTATTTTTGTCAATGTATATGAAATATTTTCATAAATGTGATGTATGTCACATTAGATATAAATTGTATTATTAATTTTTAATCTATATATTTCTAAAATTACATGAGTTGATAATCATTCCTCTTTTATGTAATTATTTTCTCAATGTTTTGCTTAGTTGCTATTATAGGTATTATTCTTATATTTTATAAGTTCTTTCTATATTATAGGTATTTTTTAATGCTCGTGCGGGCCCAGTAACGTCTCTATAATAAAATTTGCAATAGCAATTTTTGTTATGATCAGAGGATTTTTGTTGGGAATATTCTCCCCATAGACTTACAATACTAGAGAATTTCCAACATGCCCCAATAGTTACCCTCAACTGATGGAAGGCACGAGTAATGAGAGATATGTAACCCAGCTTCCTTGTATATCAATAGAATTTTCCTAAAAAATGTTTTTAGAGGGGTCCCACCCCAAAGCTGGAGTTGCTGGGAGTTGATGGTGCTATTCCCTTCAGAATGCAGCCTGGCTCAGTTCCGCAGTGCTCAGGTCACTGATTCTTGCGGGAGGGAGTACCAGGTCTGCAGGACTATGGATCTAACTGGGGCTTTGGTCATGACAATCCTGTGATCTAGCATCCAAAAGTTCTTTCTTGCGGGGCAGTGAGCACCTGGAGGTGCTCAGGGCTTATTCCTGGCTCTGTCTAAAAGCATCTCACAGTGCTTGTGAATCATATGTGATGTTGGGAATTGAACCTGCGTCATCACGTGCAGCACAAGCAGCTATGATTAGAGTGACAGTATAGTGCATGGGGCACTTGCCTTGCACACAGCCAACCCATGTTCTTTCCCCAGCATCCCATGTGGTCCCCTGAGCCAGCCAGGAATGATTCCTGAGAGCAGAGCCAGGTGTTACCCCTGAACACTGCTCAGTGTGACCCCAAAGTAAAAAAATAAAATGGAACAGAACAGGCAAGGCAAGAATCTAAATCCTTGTAGTAGCTCTTCAGCCCTCTCAGGAAAAAATCCCAAGTATAATACACAGAGATTTTTTAGGTAGATCAAGCTCTGTCTTCTCACTATAGTAATCCTCCAAGTAGCACATTACAGCTGTCTCAAGTACCATTTCTGTCTCTCTTACTGTCATTTTTCCTGGGTCATTTTCAAAGTAAACTATTTGTGACCAAATCATTGTCTCTATGGTTTGTGTATGAGTAAAGGGTGGGGGGACGGGGTTACCCAATTAACACTTTGCATATTAAAACTCCTTTTATAATTTCCTTCTCAGTACCTTAAGGTAACATTGCCTACCAGTTTGGGGGCTGGCTTCAGGTGAGGATATGTCTCCTTCTACCAACTTTCTTTTGTAGAGGGCTGTCCTTTGACGCATTCTTTTCACCAGACTGTGGAGCTGGGCATCAGCATAATCATTTATCACAGTGGCTCCATGTGCCTCTCCCTTTGAACTAAATGAGAAAACAAAGCAATGTAGAAGACTCATGAAGAGATACATGCAAAAATAAAAGGTATTAAAACTTTCCATCTTCCTTATATACACCTTCCTTTCGTCCTTTAGGCAATTGAATGCACAAAGAACAAATGGTCATTCTTGACAGTATTGAAACTTTATAATAGAATTCTGCTTTGAAGATTCAAAACTCTATCTGGTTTGGCAGGCAGGATTCTGAGAGGGAATATTGATGCTCATGTCGTGAAGAATCTGTGGACAGTGAATATGCTGGATTTTTACTTCCATAATTAGTTTATGTTAATATGACACAGTTCTCTTAAAGACAAGGATGGGCCTGGTAGTCAAATCAGATCTTTAAAAGAGAAGACATTTCCCTAGCTGGTAACAGAGCAGAAATCTGAGCTTTGAACCCAGATGGAATATTATCTCAAAAATTTCAATTTTGTTTTTGAAAACAAAGGTAATACCTTGATAAGAATTTGAAGAAACTTCTAGAAACTCAGGGTCATCCCCAGCTGGTGGAAAACAAGGAAATAACGGATGACCTAAGGAAGTGAATTCTATCAAGAGGTGGAAGAAGTTGGAAGTAGATTCTCAGATTGGAGTCCAGTCAGGCTTGGCTTAGCTGATACCTTAAATTCTGAGACCAAAATTAGAGAACCTTGCCAGACACACTCAGACTTCTGGTCTGTGGAATTGAGTTAATAAATAAGTGTTGTACTGTCACTAAGTTTGTGATAATGTGGTATACAGCAATGGAAAACCCACATTTAGCAGTAGAAAACTAACATGTTTTGGTGAAATATCTTCAAAAAAACCATACAAACAACAATCTGTAAACTAATATACTTTATAAAGATCTTGGACTTCCTCTGATATTTTCCTCAGAGTTGTAAATATTTACCCTTCCTATTTCATGTTCAGACTGGAACCCACAGAGTTCCCATTGTAGCTGCAGACACTCCTTAAGAGAACCCTAGGATGAAGCCCTCTACCTATACATATATATATATATATATATATATTATGTAGGAGTACTGCTATTTATTCAGCCACTGATCAGGCTGATTGAATTGGGCATGAACTCCACTTTACTTTTCTTTTTTCATTTTTTATAATTTTGTTTATTGAATGACCATGAGAGCAGTTACAAAGCTTTCGGGTTTAAGTCTCGGTCATGCAATGAAACACCCGTCCCTTCACCAGTGCCCATTTTCCACCACCATAAACCCCTATCCCACACCCTCCCCCTACCTGTGGGTGAGATGATTTCCATATTACTCTCTCTCTACTGTAAACCCACCATTATTATTTTGGATTTTACCCCAACACTCAGATCTGACGAAAAGGCAACAGACAATTTGTTTTCTATTTCTGGTTACAAATAACATATGATGTCGCGTGGCTGCCGTAGTGGCTGTGCAATTTTAAAATTCAGAATTTTTACCAATTAAATCCGGAGGGATTTCTGTCAGAACCTGCTGTAGGTTACCAGTGCAGGCCACCCCAGGTGGGAATAGGTTTTGTGCCTTGGCCTGTTCCCCCTGGCGGTCCGGTGGTCACCATCCTCCAGAGGCCACTGGACAGTCAGATTTGAGCCTGCAGTGACGAAACACATGGGGCCTCACGGGAAACCTATTCCCACCTAGGGTAGCCCAGTGCTGGTAACCTATTGCAGGGATGGGATACATTTCTGCCAAAAAGCCACTGGGTTTCGAGATTTGTTTCTGAGTCTCTGGGATCAAGGCCGTTAAGCAGTTCGATCAGGAACCAGAGAGGCCATGCCTCCAATTATATAGCTGAGCTGGAGGTTATTTGTGGGTGTGTCTCCCACATACTTAACTTTTGGCCATTTAATTTCTTGGTAAACTTTGCCCCAAGTTTTTGGGGTCTGGCCAAAGGCACAGCAGCAATTTGGGGGTATCTGGAGGTCTAAAGGTGCCATCAGGCTGCTGATTCACTCGCCTCATAGGTACAGATTGACCTGCTGGCGGCACCATACCCCTTCTACATAATTTTTTAAAACTTTATTCAGTCCACAGATATACCATATCTAAATGTGTGCAGATTCTTGAACTACTGATATCTTTCTCTGTTGCATTTTAATTTTAATACTATAATTTGTGCCTATTTAAAATGCCAAAGGGCCTGCCTCAGTGTTGGTTCCCTAGGTGTGTCACATGATAATCTTCCTAAGTTTTGTTAGGTGAGGTTAGAACAGAGGAAGAAAAATGGCTGTTTTTTAAGCACGAGAGTAACAGAGGGACATTAAGTTCACCAAAACAAAAAACAAAAAACAAACAAACAAAAAAGAAAGTCTCCTTATTTCCACAAAAAAGAACTCAGGAAAAGTTATTTTTTTCAAAATCAAGACGTGTTGACGCTTATTTCTCCTCAATCTTATTATGCCTAAGTAGAATCTTATTCATACATCAGTTAATGAATTTCTACTTTATGCACTGGAAGCAGAAAAACAAGTTAGGCAGAGACTGGTCTTATGAATGGTTTTCATAGTTTAATGGGGGAGCCAATAATAAACAAAGAAGGTATGTGCAGAGTGCCACGGTCTATAAATGCATCTTTTTGTGGAGGGTTGTTTTGCTTTGTTTGGGGAGTACACTTGGTGGTGCCCAGGACTTACCCCTGGTCCTGTGTTTAGAGATCTCTTCTGGTGGGCTCAGGGGACCAAAAGCAGTGCTGGGAATCAAATTCAAGTTGACCACGTGCAAGGCAAGTGTCTTACCTGCTGTATACTCTCTCCAGCCCCAGTATAGGCCTTTTTTGCAGAGTGGAAGAGAAACGGAAGGTAAAAGAGAAAGCTTTGTGGTTTGCAATTGTATCAGGAACATCAGTTTAAAGAAACAATATGTGAGATGTGGACTCTGTTTCTTAGAATTCTTGGAAGGTTTTCAAGTTTGCTCAGGGGCATATGTTCTTTAGTTTAGGATCATTGTTTTGTATAACTGCAATTTGATTTGCTGCCTTCTGGAGTATAATAAAGTCTCAAACATTTTAGCATAGCATTCTGAATTGCCTGTACACTGACTTGAGAAGGCAGTGGAGAGTTAAAGGCACTCAGAACAGAATTCTAAGCAAAAGAAGGAAGTTGTTCGCTGTGTTTTAGAAAAATACTAAAAAAAATAAAAAGAAGGTGTGTTGGGGAGAGACTTGACTTGAACAAGGGAGAGTATCAAGTTAAAAAATGCAGGTTAATGGGGTATGGTGCTGGCAGCAGGTCAATCTGTACCTGTGAGGTGAGTGCATCAGCAGCCTGATGGTGCCTTCAGACTTCCAGATACCCCAAAATTGCTGCTGTGCCTTTGGCCCCAACAACTTGAGGTCAAGTTTCCCAAGAAAGTAAATGGCCAAAAGTTAGGTATGTGGGAGACACACCCACAAACCACCTCCGGCTCAGCTATATAATTGAAGGCAAGGCCTCTCTGGTTCCTGATCAAGTTTTATAATGGCCATGATCTCAGAGACTCAGAAACAAATCTCGGAACCCAACGACTTTTGGCAGAAATGCGTCTGGTCCCCACAGTAGGTTACTGGCGCTGGGCCACCCCAGGGGGTAAGGGTGCTGTCCTTTTGCCTGCTCCCTCTTGGTGGCTCGGTGGCCACCACTCTCCAGAGGCCATTGTACAGTCAGGTATGGGCCTGCAGTGATGAGACACATGGGGTCCCATGGGATGGGGGTGGTATGGCCCTTTCCTCTCCACCTCAACGAGACTCCGAGTCGCTGCCCACAAACAGCTTCTCTGGTTCTTGATCAAGCTGCTTAATGGACATGATCCCAGAGACTCAGAAACAAATCGCAGAACCCAGAGGTTTTTTGGCAAAAATGCATCCAGTCATCGCAGTAGGTTACTGGCATTGGGCCACCCCATGGCGGAAAGGGTGCTATCCCTCAGCCTGCTCCCTCTTGGTGGCTCGGTTGCTGCCATCCTCCAGAGGCCATTGGACAGTTAGGTTTGGGCCTTCAGTAATGAGACACGTGGGGCCTCCCGAGATGGGGTTGGAACTGGCCGTTTCCTTCCCTCCCCAATGAGACCCCAGGTTGCTGCCCATGAACAACCTCTCTGGCTCCTGATCAAGCTGCTTAACAGCCATGATCCCAGAGACTCAGGAACAAATCTTGGAACCCAGCAGGTTTTGCCAGAAACCCCTTCAGATTTAATTGTTAAAATTTCAGAATCCCAAAATTGCGTGGCCACTACTGTCAGCTGTGTGACATCATATGTCATTCATAATCAGCAATAGAAAACACATTGTCTATGGTTGCCTTTTTGACAGATCTGTATGTTGAGGTAAAATCCCAAATAATAATGGTGAATCTGGTGTCAAAATATTGAATGTAATCAAAGTAGAGCGAGAGTAATGTGGAAATCATCTGCCCCACAGGTAGGGGGAGGGTATGGGATGGGTTATATACTGAGGTTTTTGGTGGGGGAAAATGGGCACTGGTGAAGGGACAGGTGTTTCATCATTGTATGACCGAAACTTAAACCCAAAAGCTTTGTAACTGCTCTCACGGTGATTCAAGAAATAAATTTGTAAAAAGGAAAAAAATGTAAGGTGGAGTTTATGCCCAATTCAATCAGCCTAATCAATGGATGAAAAAATAGCAGTACTCCTACATTGAAATAATAAAAAAAATGCAGGTTAAAGTTACTTCAGAAAATTTTGAATTTTGTCACTGTATTGCATTTTGCTATAATTCAGATTTATCTGGAAACTCAGAAGGTGACCTTATCTGGAAATAGGGTCTGTACAGATGAAAATATATAAGATGAGCAGGATGGGATTTTTAAATTTTTTAATTTTAATTTTTCTGAACAAACAAACAAACAAACACTGTCCTCCCATTGTTCATCGATTTGCTCGAGCGGGCCCAGTAATGTCTCCATTGTGAAACTTCTTGTTACTGTGTTTGGCATATTGAATACTCTCAGTAGCTTGTCAGACTCTCCGAGAGGGGCAGAGAAATCAAAGCCG